AAGTTTTAAATATATCCTTGCTTTGACTGATAAAATCAAACACGGTAAACTAAATGTCGCTAAGTGATATATAATACATTTTAAATTCAAATTGACCTCTCAGGCCAAGAAAACAAATACTTTACAAAATAAAAGATTTCTATAAAATAACCATCTGTTCTATCTGTGCTGAGTATCTTCTTAGTAGGCACAAAAACACTATGATTGAACTTGGTGATTGCCTAGATAAGAGACTTTAAATTTGATTGTTTTGCAAATAACAAGTCAAGTCATTCCAATCATTTCAAAGTATTATTATTGTTTACAGTTTTTAACAGTTTATAATTTGTTGTTTTTTAAAGAGAGGGAGATTTTACAATATGTGTACTTCCGGTGTACCACTTCCGGTATGCTTATGTAATTAGTATCTGTCAATCATGTCAAAAGCACATGTAATCTACAAGAGACTGAGTTCAAATAAAGATGGCTTACGGTCATTGAACTCATGAAACACTAAACTCATTAAAAGTTATTGTCTTCCAGTAGGCATTTAATGTCACCTAAGAATAATCGAGTTTGCACCAGCAAAAGTTATCACTAAAGGAGAAAACACCAAAAAGTAAATAATTAAAGTGTTAAAGCTCTTAAGGACCCATGCACACACTCTGCACCCAGCACCTTAATCCACCACTGCAAATACACAGCCACCTCAGGACTGTTGTGATGAGAGTCAAATCACAACTCTTTCGTCATGCACAGTCTGTCTTCGTCATGTACATTTTTTGGTGTTTAATGTTAAAAATGTTTGTTAATACCTTTTATGTCTCTTTACAAATAGGGAATTTCTCAAAGTGTGCTTAGAGTGCCTTTAGATCAAGTGACAAGTAGGGATTATGAGAGTGATGGACAGTTAGGTAACTGCAGCGAATCATTAATATTTTATGGTATATTTTGTTTATATTTTTTAATATAATGCTGTACGTTAAGGTACAGTTTCATCAGACATTATGAGCATGCAGCGCTGCGTCCTTTAAGGCCGAATTAGACAGCACAACTTTTGCCTAAAACATTGCATGCAACCTGCGCAGTTGTAGACATGTTGTAAGGATGACTTACACAGGTCGCATGCGATGGTTGTAGGCAAAAGTTGTGTCGTCTAATTCGTTCTTTACAATTCAGCACCTGTGCTGCAATATAGGGTAATCAGCACCCACTACCTTACATTGCCTTTACATTTCAGATGACTTTGACGATGATTATGGAACTGATACAGGTATAATTGATTTAACTTCACTATGACTTCTCAGCAAACTTGATATCATTTCAGTAACTATAACGTCTTTTTTTCTCAGTTCTCTGTCAGTGTAGAGTACTGTACGAGTTTGYTGCAGAGCAAAGCGATCAACTGTCWATCACACCAGGTGATATTATCAGTGTGACCGAAAAAAATGCCGATGGCTGGTGGAAGGGTGAATGTAACAACAGAAGAGGATTTTTCCCTGGGTCATACGTAGAAGAACTGCATTGAACCGAATTAAATCTATTTAAAAACAGCGGCTTTTGGAAGCGGATTTTGTGACCACAATTGTAAATGGATATTAAATAAGAACATTAGTGGTGAAAATTTTTAAGGTTTAATAATCTAATTTAGTTCAAGTTTATCGAATATATTATGCTTAGAAATATATAAAAAGAGTCTGGTTTCACTAGCTCCACTGCAAGTATCCACAACATGGCAAAGATAAATTTTCTTGTTTGTAATTACGCTAAAACAAAACAAACCAATTTTGATACTTTAGAAAAATTATACATCTGGATGCAAGTAACTTTTTCTAGTTGTATAATATTATCTAATGAGTAATGATTAGTATAGTTTACAACATGAGCGGCCGTGTTGTATGGGAATTACAATCTCGAGCCGC